TTAACAATTCCTGGCAGTAGTGCTAAACTGCTGATACTAACATGCATACATGTACACATTACAAATAGACTCTATATTATATAGCATACACAATAATAATAAAGTAAAGGCAACCAGTGGTGAATAGTTGAGCATGGAACTGAGTATTTGATACATGCACTTATAAAGCAAAAGCTGATAAACTACATGTACATAATGAGATTATAAATACATTACTATTCATTAATGATTATTGTTTGTATTTAAGAGTTGTCCATAAATAATAATATTTTTCCTTACAAATATGTATTAGCGAATGGCTTAAATGTTCATGTACATTCTAGTCATGATTATTTTGATGATTTTGCTTTAAAAAAACATTTCATTACTCAATCATCAACAGAGTCAACACAATTTACACATACCTGCATTTGTCTATCATTCCAAAGTTTCAAAAATTAAAAGCAGGAAAGAATATAATTAACACAACCTAAATGAATGCACATGTATATGTACTTGTGGCTATAAAAGCAGTCTCTTTTATCGATATCATCTCATAAATCACATGAAAGAGAAGATGGGTAGACTAGTAGAGTATATACTGTTACTTCTATCAGTTGTACTAGTAGTATCTACATTGACTGGATCTACTAACAATTACTACAATGGTAAGATACTGACTACTATACTAATGGATAATATACCTGTTTCAATTATATACTGTATACCAGTTTATTTTCACGGTAAAAATTTTTCGTAAATCTTGCATTTCTAAGATTTTGCGTGATTAATTTTCCCAAATAGCTTGCAGACTGTACCATGTGGCAATGGAAATGCAAAATTTCACCGTTAAAAAATTTTGCAACAGAGCAAGAAACTGCAAAATTTGCGAAAACATTTCATCGCGAAAATTAACTGGTACATGTATATATACTATGAAAAAGAACCTACTGGTAATAAAGGATTCACAGAATGTTGTAAGTTCAGTAATACACTATTGATTAATTTTATTTATTTTAAGCTCTTACTAAGAAATTTGGTGAACTCATTAATGGATCAATAACTCCTAATCCATTGGTTCACGGGAAAGAGTTTCATTTGCAAGGAACTGTACGCATTAGTAAGTTACATATTCACTAGTACCTGTAAAGATCTTTTCCAGACAAAACCATACAATGGGGTATACTGCATTTTACATTGACATACAATTTCAAGAATTTTACTAATATTACTTTCGCGGATGAGAAGTTCAATTTATGTGACTACCTTGATGATTTATTCAATCTACATTGTCCAATACAGCCAGGAATATATCATTTCAATTATACTGATACAAGGGAAGTGCCAAACCAATTTTGGCCAGTGAGTAACAGATACAGTGTATCATTATTACTATTCTATTTCATAGGGTAGGTATTATGCCAAAGTTACTGCATACAATGAGGAAGGAGAGGAAATTGGGTGTGTAAGTAAAGAACTTTCTATCAAATAAAATAGTGAACGTACATAAGTGTATTAAATACAATGACTCTAAGTTAATTGTGTTTTCTTAATAAATGCTGTACATTAAAACATTAATAATAAACAATTTCTGGTATTGCTAATTAACATCATTTTTCATGCAATCACTACTATTAAACAAAAACTTCATTAGAGGCTAGCTGTTGCAGTAATTAATCAATTGAACTTTAAAATAATCAATGCATTCAATGCATAGGAGGAAATAGATGATAGTACTGTGCACATTAAACTATAGACTGGACATAGAGTACAGTCAGTAAACACAATAAGAAAAGAAAATACATTGAGTACAAAAGACTAATGGAAGTAATGTACAAGTATTATACCAGTAGGGTACTATGCATGTACTGCATGTCACAAATACACAAAATTACACTATACATGTTCATGTAACATTATTTCCTTTGACGCAAATTCAATTTATGGAATTTGTCCAATACAACTAGGCATCCACTTGTAAGCCTTGTCATAGGATGCATCCATCACTCACAAAAAGAAAAGGAGCATGTCACTGCATGAGGGCTATACTTGAAGAATAGTTTAATCATAACCAGAGTGTCTTTTCAAAAGAAGATGCTATGACCCAGTGACTAGAATAAGTTATCCTTTCTGGGTTAAGCATCCTCAACTTTTAAGACTCAATATTGTTTAAATCCTCTAAATCATAGCATATAATACACATAAATTAAATAAAATTGTACATGTACATGCAGTAACATTGAAATGACTGGTGAATAGTGGAGTGTGGATCTTAAGTACTTTATATATAGATGCATGTAGTACACTATACATGCATATAATTCATTTTTCAATGTGTGAGTACTGATTTTAGTGTTTTAGTTGTATTGAGAGTATCTTCTACTTTCCTCCCGCACAGTATTCTTGATACATGCAGTATTACTGGTAGACATGATCTACACAAGTTGATAATATCATCACTTGATTTCTCTCATGACAACTACTCTAAGCCAATCCTACAGAAACTGCTTAATGGATATGATGGAGTAAGTCCATACTTATTATTATTAGTAATTTTATATGTTATTGTAACATTTTTCTAACCATTGGAATATATATTTAATAATCATTGGCAAAAATTGTAACCATGATTTCTTTTACTTTCCTACACTATAATCCTTATAGTACATATAATGTTCTGTATGTTATTCACCTTTAATCCTGGTTTTTACTTGCCAGTCGCCACAAAATGCAATGCCAAATTTAGCATCAACTCCTCCTTCCCTTTTCTTCATTTTGTTCTGTTGTTTCATTTGGTCATTAGGACTCTCTCTCATCACTCATTCACTGCCTTCCCTTTCGCACCCTCCTACTATATGCGCACCCTCCTACTTTGTATTAAATTCTCATTCATTAATGTAAATTTCCTTCACTACTTGTTGTTACAATAAAGGAATGTACTATCATAGCTTCCTGTAGTCACTAGACTATAGAATATTCCAAGAGGTCATCAGGGCTATCTTATCTTTCCCCAGGCTACTCTCATTCTCATTCATTCCAACTTCTTCATTTTCTTATTGTTCATTCTTGTTTTATCTTCATTTATCATCTTCTACCTTTATCTATCTTCATTTTTCGTTCTTGCTTTACGTACACAATTGTATTCTTTTCTTGAAATGGCAACCAAACCATCTTCATCTTCTTCTCCTGGTCTCCTCAAACTGGAGGAACAGCTCACTTGTCCTGTGTGTCTTGACCACTATACCAACCCTAAGACTTTACCTTGTCTACATTCATTCTGCCAGCACTGTCTGGAGGGATTACCATTGGATAAGAAGAATGAGACCTATTACCTCTCTTGTCCCACTTGTCGTAATCGTACAGAATTACCAAAAGAAGGAGCACGAGCCTTTCCTGTAGCATTCACTCTCAACAACCTCAAAGAGATACACACTCTAATGAAGAAAGTAGCTAATCCTCAACAGGTTACCTGTGACAACTGTACTACAGCTAATGCCACTGGGTACTGCAAAGACTGCAGTAGGTTCTTTTGTACAAAATGTGATGGAGTTCACAAGAAATGGGGCCCAACTTCCAACCATCAGCTGACAAGTCTTGATGAAGTGACAGCCTCTGATGTCTCTTCTACTTCTGAATTGCTAGCTCCAGCTAAACAGGAGACAACCCTCACTTGCTCTGTATCTGGTCATGATGATTCGTTAAGGTATTACTGTGACACATGTGATGAATCTATCTGTCGTGATTGTATCATGCTGGCTCATAAAGATCACAAGTATAACCTAATAGCTAATAGTTTTAATAAACACAAAGAAGCGCTGGAGAAATCTCTTAATCCGGTAAAAGGGAAAATTGAAGCACTCAAGAAGGTCCTGTCTGCTCTAGCAGAGAGAGAGGGTGAGATCAGAGAGAGAGGAGAAGGAGTCTTAAAAGAAATACATGAAATGGTGGAGAAAATGATGAATGTTCTTCGTCAGTCAGAAAGGAAACTGACTGAGCAGGCAAAAAGGGTCACTGATAATAAACTTAAGTTGCTTTCAGGGCAAATGAAATCAGCAAAAATGAGCTTGAGTCTTCTGGAGGATGTAGGTGATTATGTGGAACAGAGTCTGAAGACAGGCAGTCCTCAACAAGTCCTGAGGTCTAAGAAACAGATGATGGAGCGTATGAGTGAAGTTATTGCAGGGATCAATGTTAAGGAGTTAAACCCAAAGGAAAAGGCTGACTTTGTATTGAGTAAAGATATCAAATCACTACATCACATTGGAGATATTGTGACCTCTACTGCACTACAGCAGTGTAGAGTGAAGAAGATTGATTGTATTAGACCTGCTGGCAAAGCAGTTTCATTTTCACTATCAATGGAGGCACCAGATTCATCTGTTTTGTGTGTTCCCCTCTCTTCTCTGAGGTGTAGTCTAGTACCAGTTGGTAAAGGTGATCAACCCATTACGACTACAGTCACTACCACCAGCAGTGACCTTGGAGTGTATAAGATACAGTGTAATGCTTCAACACGTGGTTCTCACACAGTAAAAGTACAAGTATATGATGTACACCTTGAGGATACCTCACTAGTCATCCCTATCAATCCTTGCCTTGATAAAATCACTCCAGTACATACTATAACTGAGCTTAAGCGTCCCTGGGGAGTTGCTGTAACTGATGATAATCATGTTATAATAACTGAGAATAGTGGTAATTGTGTAACAATACTGGATAGAGAAGGAAAAAAAGTAAAATCATTAGGAGGGGAAGGAGGAAGTGGTAATGTTAAGTTTTCTACTCCTCGTGGTGTAGCCATTACTTCAGACAAATTCATTCTTGTGTCTGATGGTAATTACAGGATCCAGAAGATAAGCATGGATGGATACCTTATAGCATCAGTTGGTGAAAAGGGCAGTGGACCACTACAATTCAGTGGTCCTCGTGGTATAGCCATTTCTCCTATAACAGGACAGGTTTATATTGCTGATAGGAATAATCATCGTATACAAGTCTTAAATCCTGATCTATCCTTCTCGCATTCATTTGGTAGCAAAGGATCGGCTAATGGACAGCTTGAGTATCCATATGACATTGCTATTGACATTCAAGGATTAGTGTATATTGCTGATAGGAATAATCGTCGCATTCAGAAGTTTTCTCCAGATGGAAAGTTTGTGGGTCAGTTTGGTACTGGAGGATCTGGTCCTGGAGAGCTTAACTGTCCAGCAGGTATTGCAATAGACACTGCAGCTACTGGTCTAGTGTATGTTAGTGAAGATAGCAATCATCGTATATCAGTCTTTACTAGTGATGGTGTGTTTGTCAGTAAGTTTGGAAGTGAAGGCAGTAATATCGATCAGTTTAATAGTCCTTTTGGATTAGCATTTAATAAAGATGGATTTTTGTATATTTGTGATTATTTTAATAATCGTCTTGTTGTTTATTAGTTATTATTTCTTCAATCCTTTTTACTTTTAGTTTTATTTTGAAACTTGAATATGTTTTAGTTCTAGTTTTAGTTTAATTTCAGACTTTGATTTCTTTTAATTTTAGTTTTTCCCTTTAAAAATAAATTTAGTTTTGTTTTAGTATTTAAGAAAAGTGTTAGTTTTAGTAAAAATTTGAGTAAATATATCCCATAGCACTAGCCATTTGCTAAAATTACAAGGGCAATGTCGTAACCATGGGTAAACCAAGTGACCTGTGACTACGTCAGGTGCACATAACATATGCATGCATGACCTATAACTAACTAAAAGATATTTTGGTTTCTAACATTTAATTGTATTAGTTTTAGCTTTTTTGAAAACATCATTCATTTAGTTATGATAGCATTATATAAATGTTTGTTCTAAGCAGAATTAGAAATTTTCATTCATCTTATTTTTGTTCTGAGCAACCATCTTGCACACGTGGCATTGAGGAAACGCCTTTTTTGCTTGGAAAATATTTGTTCCAAAGTAATGAGAACAAAATTAAACTCTGATGGAATATACCCACTATATGCTACATTCTAGTGATAATTATTTTGATGATTTTTGCCTTAAAAACAGTTACTTATTCTATCATAAACAAAGTTGACACAAACTTAAACATGTACATACATTTGTGTATCATTGCACTGCAAGTTTAAAAGAAATTGAAAGCAGGAAAGATAACACAACCTACATATATGCACACGTATGGATATAAATGCAGAATCCTTTATCAATATGACCTCATAAATCAAGTCAAAGAGAAGATGAGTAGACTAGTAGAGTATAAACTGTTACTTCTATCAGTTGTACTAGTAGTATCTACATTGACTGGATCTATTAACAATTACTACAATGGTAAGATACTGGCTACTATTAATGGATAACATACCTGTTCGTATTATATATACTATCAACAATAAGAATCTACTGGTAATAAAGAATCATACACATATTGTTGTAAGTTCAGTAATCAACTATATTGAATTATTCTATTAATTTTAAGCTGTTACAAAGAAATTTGGTGAACTTATTAATGGATTGATAACTCCTAATCCATTGGTTCATGGGAAAGAGTTTCAGTTGCAAGGAACTTTACACATTAGTAAGTTACATATTCACTAGTGCTGAAAAGATCTTTTTCTAGAGAAAACGATACAATGGGGTATACTGCATTTCACACTGACACATCCTTTCAAGAATTATATCAATATTACTTTCATGGATGAGAAGTTCAATTTATGCGACTACCTTGATGATTTATGCAAGGTATATTGTCCTATACCACCAGGGACATATCATGCTGATGCAGTAGGATTAATACCAAGCATCTTATGGCCAGTGAGTCACAGATACAGTGTATCATTATTACTATTCTATTTCATAGGGTAGGTATTATGGGAAAGCTACTGCACACAATGAGAAAGGAGAGGAAATGATGTGTGTAAGCACTGAACTTAATGTCAAATAACTTGAATAAAAGTAGTGAAAGTAGATAAGTGCAATATGACTCGAAGTTAATTTTGTTTTCTTAACAAATGCTGCTCATTTAAACATTAATAATATAAATAATTCCTTGTATAACTAATGAATATGCACTTTTCATGCAATCACTACTATTAACAATAAAATGAGAACAAACACATAATTATAACGGAAGCTCATTAATTAGAGGCTAGATGTTACAGTAATTAATTAAATGAACTTCATAAATAATCAATGACCCTTTGAATTCAATGCATAGCAGTACATAGATCATAGTGTGCACATTAAAATTTGGCTGCAAATCAAGTACAAAAGACAAACTTAATAGTAATAAGTACAAATGTTGCATGGAATATACAAGTACAGTATGATACCAGTCCACTGTCCACTCAATACTACACAATGGGGTATACTGCATGTCACAAATACAAAATATTATACTACATGTAACATTATTTCCTTCCTTTGATTTAAATTCAAGTCATGCAATTTGTCCGATACAACCAGGGATCCACATGGAAGCCTTGTCATAGAATGCGCCCATCACTCACAAAAAGAAAGGGAGCATAATCATAGCCAGAGTGTCTTTTCCAAAAATGCTATGTCCCAGTGACTAGAATGAGTTTTCCTTTTAAGTTGAGAGTCCTAACATTTTAAATGTAATTGATTGAATTCTTTAAGATCATAGCATAAAATAAATCAAACAAAATTGTACATGTACATGCAGTAACATTGAAACGACTGGTGAATAGTGGAGTATGGAGCTTAAGTATCTGATATATGCACTTATATAGATAAAAGCTATAAAATACATGATGGCATATTATAAATTAGTAAATGGCTTATAAGTACATTCTAGTCATAATTATTTTGATGATCTTTGCTTTAAAAAACAGTAAGTTACTCAATCATCAAAACAGTTTCAACAAATTTATGCATGTACATGTACATACATTTGTACATCATTGCACTGCAAGGTTAAAGAAATTGAAAGAAGGAAAGAAGATAAGATAACACAACCTACATGAACATGTACATGTATGCACATGTACATGTACTTGCGGCTATAAATGCAGTCTCCTTTATCGATATCATCTCATAAACAAGTCAAAGAGAAGATGGGTAGACTAGTAGAGTATATACTGTTACTTCTATCAGTTGTACTAGTAGTATCTACATTGACTGGATCTACTAACAATTACTACAATGGTAAGATACTGACTACTATACTAATGGATAATATACCTGTTTCAATTATATATACTATCAACAACAAGAATCTACTGGTAATAAAGGAGTCACAGATTGTTGTAAGTTCAGTAATACACTATTGATTTATTCTATTAATTTTAAGCTGTTACTAAGAAATTTGGTGAACTCATTAATGGATCAATAACTCCTAATCCATTGGTTCACGGGAAAGAGTTTCATTTGCAAGGAACTGCACACATTAGTAAGTTACATATGCACTATAGTATTGTAAAGATCTTTTTCTAGAAAAACTCGTACAATGGGGTATACTGCATTTCACATTGACACATACATTCAAGGATTATACTAATATTACGTTCGTTGATGAGAAGTTCAATTTATGCGACTACATTGTTGATTTATTCAAGCAGCATGTACATTGCCCAGTACAACCAGGAATGTATCATTTTAATTATACTGATACAAGCAAAGTACCAGATCTCCTTTGGCCAGTGAGTAACAGATACAGTGTATCATTATTACTATTCTATTTCATAGGGTAGGTATTATGCAAAAGCTACTATGTACAATAAGGAAGGAGAGGAAATGATGTGTGTAAGTACAGAGCTTAATGTCAAAGGACTTAAATAAAAATAGTGAAAGTACATTAATGTGTATTTAATATAATGATTCTAAGCTAATTTTGTTCTCTTAATAAATGCTTCTCATTACAACATTAATAATATAAACAATTCCATGTATTACTAATGATTATCATTTTTTATGCAATCACTACTATCAAGAGTAGATAATAATTAGAGGAGAGTGTCCTACTGTGTCTATACCCCCTGCTTCATCACGGTGTAGAATTGAAGAGTCACATTCCGGTTATTTCCATATTTTATTTGAGTAGTCATTAAAAAATAACTAGAAATAACTATAACTACTCAAATAAAATATGGAAATAACCGGAATGTGACTCTTCAATTCTACGCCGTGATGAAGCAGACCTTATAGCCAGTAGGACACTCTCCTCTAATTATTATCTACTCTTGCCACTATTAATAATAAAATGAGAACAAGCACACATTTATAATGAGAACTCAATACTATAAGATTTCGTTAGAGGCTAGCTGTTGCAATTACCGTATTTCCTTAAATAAAAGCCCGGGCGTCTATTTCCTAAAATGGTATTTGGATCTCGAAAAATATATTAAAAAAACTTCAGCCCAGAGCAAGATTCGAACCCGTAACCTCATGCTTTTGACTTCTGGAAATTCAGGTATTATCCACTAGACTACTGAGACACTCCTAGGCTAGTGTTGTGTATTTACACTTTAATTCTATTGCTACCTCGGCGTTTATTCAAATGTGGCTTCTATTTAAGGATTTACGGTACTACTATTAAAACAGACACACATTTATAATAGGAGCTCAATAATCAGAGGCTAGTTGTTGCAGTAAACAATTCATAAATAATTCATAATCCTTTGCAATCAATGCTTAGCAGTAAATAGATCATAGCAAGAGTGGATAATCTTGATCATAGTAGTGTGCACATCACAATTAGACTGGACATCAAGGACAAAAAGACTAATGCAGCAACTAGAAAAATTGAATGACATGTACAAGTATGATACTAGTCCACTCAATACCACAATGGGGTATGTATTGCATGTCACAAATACACAAAATTATACTACATGTGTACATGTAACATTATTTCCTTTGACGCAAATTCAATTCATGGAATTTGTCCAATACAACCAGGGATCTACTTGGAAGCCTTGTCATAGAATGAGTCCATCACCCACAAAAAGAAAGGGAGCATGAGGGCTGGTTCAGGAATTGATCATAACCATCTTTTCAAGAGATGCTGTGTCCCAGTGACCAGAATGGGTTTTTCTTTTTGGGTTGAGAGTCATCCACTTTTAAGACTTAATATTCTTTAAATCCTTTAAATCATAGCATAAGATACATGTAAATTAAATAAAGTTGTGCATGTACATGCAGTAACATTGAAATGACTGGTAAATAGTGGAGTATGGAACTTAAGTATATGAAAATGAAAGCTATAAAATACATGATGGGAATATAAATTAGTGATATGCTTATATGTACATTCTAGTCAAAATTATTTTGATGATCTTTGCTTTAAAAAACAGTTAATTACTCAATCATTGTAACAGTTCAAGGAAATTTATGCATGTACATACATTGTAATATCATTGCACTGCAAGGTTAAAAGATACTGAAAGCAGGAGAGAAGATAAGATAACACACCTATATGCCCATGTACATGTACTTGTGGCTATAAATGCAGTATCAATATTGATATTGACTCATAAATCAAGTCAAAAAGAAGATGGGTAGACTAGTAGAGTATATACTGTTACTTCTATCAGTTGTACTAGTAGTATCTACATTGACTGGATCTGCTAACAATTACTACAATGGTAAGATACTGACTACTATACTAATGGATAATATACCTGTTTCAATTATATATACTATCAACAATAAGAACCTACTGGTAATAAAGGATCATTCAAAGATTGTTGTAAGTTCAGTAATAAACTACTGAATTAGTCTATTAATTTTAAGCTGTTAGTGAGAAATTTGCTGAACTCATTAATGGATCAATAACAACAAATCCATTGATTTGTGGAAAGGCATATTATTATCAAGGATCTTTAAATATCAGTAAGTTTCATATTCACTATAGTACTGTAAATCTTTTTCTAGAGAAAACCATACAATGGGGTATACTGCATTTCACATTGACACATCCTTTCAAGAATTATGCTAATATTACTTTCATGGATGAGAAGTTTAATTTATGCGACTACATTTATGATTTATTCAAGGTATATTGTCCTATGCAACCAGGAACATATCATACTGATGCAGTAGGATTAATACCAAGCATCTTATGGCCAGTGAGTAACAGATACAGTGTATCATTATTACTATTCTATTTCATAGGGTAGGTATTATGCCAAAGCTGCTATGTACAATAAGGAAGGAGAGGAAATTATGTGTATAAGTACAGAACTTACCGTCAAAAAACTTGAATAAAAATAGTGGAAGCACATAAATGCATAATGACTTTAATTTGATTGTGTTTTCTTAATAAATGCTGCTCATTAAAACATTAATAATAATAAACAATTCCTTGTATAACTAATGAATATGCATTTTTCAAGCAACCACTAGCTACTATTAGTAACAAAATGAAAACAAACACACATTTATAATGAGAACTCAATACTAAGACTTTGTTAGAGGCTGGCTGTTGCCATCACTACTATTAAAACAAACACATTCTGACAATAGGAGCTAAATATAACTAGAGGCTAGCTCTTGCAGTAATTAATTGATAAGTAATCCATATCTTATGCATTAAATGCATATCAGTAAATATTTCATAGTAGAGTGCACATTACAATTAGACTAGACATCAAGTACAAAAGACGAATGGAAGTAAGTACAAAAATTGCATGGCATGTACAAGTATGATACTAGTGGGATACTAAAATGAGGTATACAAGTACTAGATGTCAAAAATACACAAAATTATACTATACATGTACATGTACATATTTATGGAATTTGTCCAATACAACCAGAGATTGATCCACTTGGAAGCCTTGTCACAGAATATGCCCATCACTCACAAAAAGAAAAGGAGCATATGAGGGCTAGTTCAGGAATAATAATATGATCATAACCATGAAGAGTGTCTTTTCCAAAGATGCTATGTCCCAGTGACTAGAATGAGTTTTCCTTTTAAGTTGAGAGTTCTCAACTTTTTAGATGCAATTGCTTGAATTCTTTAAGATTATAGCATAAAATAAATCAAACAAAATTGTACATGCAGTAACATTGAAATGACTGGTGAATAGTGGAGTATGGAACTTAAGTATTTGACATGTGCACCTATACAAATAAAAGCTATACAATTCATGATGGAATTATATAAATTATTAAATGGCTTTTAAGTATGTTCTAGTCATAACTATTTTAATGATTCTTGCTTTTAAAAACAGATAATCAACACAGTTTAAACAAGTTTACATACGTACATACATTTGAATATCATTGCATTGCACAATTAAAAAAATTGAAAGTAGGAAAGAAGATAAGATAACACGACCTACATATATGCACATGTACTTGTACTTGTGGCTATAAATGCAGTATCATTTATCGATATCTTTTCATAAATCAAGTCAAAGAGAAGATGGGTAGACTAGTAGAGTATATACTGTTACTTCTATCAGTTGTACTAGTAGTATCTACATTGACTGGATCTACTAACAATTACTACAATGGTAAGATACTGACTACTATACTAATGGATAATATACCTTTTCAATTATATATACTATCAACAACAAGAACCTACTGGTAATAAAGGATTCACAGATTGTTGTAAGTTCAGTAATACACTATTGATTTATTCCATTAATTTTAAGGTGTTAATACAAAATTTGCTGAATTCACTAATTTATCATTAACTCCAAATCCGCTGATTCGTGGAAAAGAATGTGAAATGCAAGGAATTTTTCATAATAGTAAGTTACATATTCACTAGTACTGTAATGATCTTTTTCTAGCGAAAACCATACAGTGGGGTATACTGCATGTCACAATAACATATACTTTCAAGAATTATATTAATATTACTTTCGTGGATGAGAAATTCAATTTATGTGACTACTTTGTTGATTTATTCAAGATACAATGTCCTTTGCCACCAGGAATATATCATGATGATTCAGTACGAACAGTACCAAATATCTTTTGGCCAGTGAGTAACAGATACAGTGTATCATTATTACTATTCTATTTCATAGGGTAGGTATTATGGCAAAGTTACTGCATACAATGAGGAAGGAGAGGAAATGATGTGTATAAGTAAGGAATTTACCGTCAAATAACTTAAATAAAAATAGTGAAAGCACATAAGTGCATAATGACTTTAAGTTGATTGTGTTTTCTTAACAAACGCTGCTCATTAAAACATTAATAATAATAAACAATTTCTTGTATAACTAATGAATATGCATTTTCATTCAATTACTAGCTACTATTAATAATAAAATGAGAACAAACACACATTTATAATGAGAACTCAATACTAAGATTTCGTTAGAGGCTAGCTGTTGTAGCAATTAATTAATTGAAATTCACAAATAATCCTATCCATTCAATGCATAGCAGGAAATAGATCATAGTAGTATGGACATTACACTATAGACTGGATATAGAGTAAAGCCAGTATACACAATAAGAAAAGAAAATACAAAAGACAAATGGCAGTAAGTACAAATATTGCATGGCATGTAGTCCACTTAATACTGCAATGGGGTACACTATATGTCACAAATACACAACATTAGTACATGTACATGTTCATGCAATTTGTCCAATACAACCAGGGATCCACTTGGAAGCCTTTTCATAGAATGCATCCATCACTCACAAGAAAGAAAAGGAGCATGAGGGCTGGTTCAGGAATAGTTTGATCATAAGGAAATGAGGATTCCACAAGCACATCCATGTATAACCAGAGAGTCATGATCAACAAGTTTATATCCACTTAATCCATCCGTGTACATGTAAGCTCTTCTACTTTGCCATTTCTCACGGTCAGTCTCTCTTCAGTCTTCATTCCTAACTTATAATGTACATGTGCTTCAATGCCTCAAGGCAAGTCGGTATTCCTTTAATTAATATAGTACCAGAACCAATAACAAATATCAGATCTTTTTCAAGAAATCCTGTGCCCCAGTGACTAGAATGAGTTTTTCTTTTTGGGTTGAGAGTCATTGACTTTTTGTAAGCAATATTGCTAAATTTATAGCATAAGATGAATCAAATAAAATTGTATATGCAGCAACATTGAAATGACAATGCCACACACATATACATGTATAAGATTTACATGATGTACTTGTACTTCATAATGAAAGGTAAACTTATCTAAGAAATTTAGCAGTTCATCAGAATATAGTGAGGCACCAGTAACTGAGTCTACAGTCAAAGAGAAGATGGGTAGACTAGTAGAGTATATACTGTTACTTCTATCAGTTGTACTAGTAGTATCTACATTGACTGGATCTACTAACAATTACTACAATGGTAAGATACTGACTACTATACTAATGGATAATATACCTGTTTTAATTATATATACTATCAACAACAACAACAAGAACCTGGACCTAAAGATTGTTGTAAGTTCAGTATATAATACACTATTGAATTATTTTATTAATTTCAAGCTGTTACTAAGAAATTTGGTAAACTCATTAACGAATCATTGACTCCATATCCACTGATTCATGGGAAAAAGTACACCATACAAGGAACTTTTTATACTAGTAAGTTATACATCCAACATTATTAACATTCTTTTTCTAGACAAAACAGTGCAGTGGGGTACAATACATGTCACATTGGCATATAATTTCAGGAATATTGCTAATTTAACTCTTGTTGATGAAAAACTGAATCTATGCGACTTCACTGTTGATTTATTGAAGCTGCATTGTCCAGTACCACCAGGAATATACCAGTTCAATTATACTGATACAGTCCCAAAGCTCTTTCCACCAGTGAGTAACAGATACAGTGTATCATTATTACTATTCTATTTCATAGGGTAGGTATTATGCCAAAGCTACTGCATACAATGAGGAAGGAGATGAAATGATGTGTCTAATGATAGACATTGATATAAATTAATGAATTAAATACATTGTGAAAATTAAAACTTTAAAGTGCTTGTTTTCTTAGCTAGACTATTGTTTGAATAATCATTCAAATATCAACAACATAAAAAATCACTGTAACTAATGAATATCATTTTAAACACATTCACTCACATGTATGTAATAACTCTGCTATTCCTAAAGGTAGAGTAGCAAATTGTGAATTATGGAACCTAAGTATTGCACTTATAAAGGCAAAAGCTAAAATATGTGACGATGGCATTATAAAATACGTTACTACAAGTATATTAGCATTATTAGGAGCTACCAAGGCAGTAAAAATTTTGGTAGAAAAAGTCTTGGTCATTAATGGATTGTCCCTCAATAATATTAAAATATTTACCTGACATACAATACAAATATGTACCTGTATTAGTGAATGGCTTACATGTACAAGTACATTCTAGTCATAGCTATTTTGATGACTTTTGCTTTAAAAAACAGTTAAGTACTCAATCATAAACATAGTTTAAACTTCTCAACACAAATTCACATATCATTGTACATGTACGTCAGTATCATTGCACAAGATTCAAAGTCAAAGAGAAGATGGGTAGACTAGTAGAGTATATACTGTTACTTCTATCAGTTGTACTAGTAGTATCTACATTGACTGGATCTACTAACAATTACTACAATGGTAAGATACTGACTACTATACTAATGGATAATATACCTGTTTCAATTGTATATACTATCAACAACAAGAACCTACTGGTAATAAAGGATTCACAGATTGTTGTAAGTTCAGTGATACACTATTGAATTAGTCTATTAATTTTAAGCTGTCACTAAGAAATTTGCTGAGTTCACTAATGTATCATTAACTCCTAATCCATTGATTCGTGGAAAGGCATATCATATACAAGGAACTTCTGATATCAGTAAGTTACATATTCACTAGTAGTGTAAATCTTTTTCTAGAGAAAACCATACAATGGGGTATACTGCATATCACAATGACATATAATTTCAAGAATTATACTAATATTACTTTTGTCGATGAGAAGTACAATTTATGTGACTTCCTTGTTGATTTATTGAAACTACACTGTCCAGTACCACCAGGAATATATCCGCTCAATTATACTGATACAATACCAAAGCTCTTTTGGCAAGTGAGTAACAGATACAGTGTATCATTATTACTATTCTATTTCATAGGGTAGGTATTACGCCAAAGCTACTGCATACAATGAGGAAGGAGAGGAAATGATGTGTCAAATGATAGACGTTAATATAAATGAATGACTTGAATACATTGTGAAGATTAAAACTTTAAAGTGCTTGTTTTCTTAGCTAGACTATTGTTTGAATAATCTTTAAAGTATCAACAACATAAAAAAATCACTGTAACTAATGAATATCATTGTAAAAGCATTCACCTACATGCATATGTAATAACTCTGCTATTCCTACAGACAGCATAGTAAATTGTGAATTATGGAACTTACATGTAAGTACCTGTATCTACATTCACATGCACTTAAAAAGAGAGAATCTTAAAATAAGTGACGGCATTATTATTATTATTATTATAAATACATTACTATTAAACATGTATATTGGGGGCTACCAGAATAGTACAAATTTTGGCACAAAAAGTCTTAGGAAGTAATGGGTTGTCCCTCAATAATAATTAAATATTTAACTGACATAGGATACAAATATGTACCTGTATTTGTGAATGGCTTACATGTACATGTACATTCTAGTCACAACTATTTCTGCTCTAAAAACAGTTAATTACTCCATCATCAACACAGTTTAAACATCTCAATACAATTTACATACATTCAAATATTGTTGTACATCAGTATCGTTGCAGAAGATTGAAACAAATTGAAAGCAGGAAAGAAGATAAGAAAACATAAAATGATGCTGCCACACCAATGACACCATACAACACAAAAATATATTACACAACTTACATGCATGCACATGTACATGTACATGTACATGTACTTGTGGCTATAAATGCAGTATCCTTTATCGATATCACCTCATAAATCAAGTCAAAGAGAAGATGGGTAGACTAGTAGAGTATATACTGTTACTTCTATCAGTTGTACTAGTAGTATCTACATTGACTGGATCTACTAACAATTACTACAATGGTAAGATACTGACTACTATACTAATGGATAATATACCTGTTTCAATTATATATACTATCAACAACAAGAAGAGCCTGGACCTAAAGATTGCTGTAAGTTCAGTATATAATACACTATTGAACTATTTTATTAATTTTAAGCTGTGACTAAGAAATTCAGTAAACTCATTAACGATTCATTCACTCCATATCCACTGATTCCTGGAAAAAACTACAATGTACAAGGAACTATACTTATTAGTAAGTTATGTACATGCATATATTCAACATTACTAACATTCTTTTCTAGACAAAACCGTAGAATGGGGTACAATACATTTCACACTGGCACATAATTTCAGAAATACAGTTAATATTACTTTTGTCAACGAAAAACTAAATCTATGCGACTTCATTGTCGATTTGTTGAAGCTACATTGTCCAGTACCACCAGGAATATATCAGTTCAATTATACTGATACAGTACCAAAGCTCTTTTGGCCAGTAAGTAACAGATACAGTGTATCATTATTACTATTCTATTTCATAGGGTAGGTATTATGGGAAAGCTGCAGTGTACAATGAGGAAGGAGAGGAATTGATGTGTCAAACGATAGACGTTAATATAAATGAATGACTTCAATACATTATGAAAGTTAATCCTTTAAAGTTCTTGTTTTCTTAGCTAGACTATTGTTTGAATAATCATTAAAATATCAACAACATATAATATCAATTTAAATGCATTCACCTACATGTATGTAATAACTCTGCTATTCCTACAGGCAGCATAGTAAACTGTGAAGTATGGAACTTAAGTATCTACAATCAGGAGCCCTGCTACAATGTACATGTATACACTGTACATGCACTTATAAAGATAAAAGCTAAATACAAGACGACATCATACATTGTAATTAGTAATACACTACCATTCATATTGGGGCTATGTAGCTAGAAAAAAATTAGTACAAAAAATCTCCGGAATTAATGGGTAGTCCCTCAATAATGATTAAATATTTACCTGACATAGAATACAAATATATATATACCTGTATTAGTGAATGGCTTATATACATGTGCATGTACATTCTAGTCAAAAATATTTTGATGATTTTTGCTTTAAAAAAACAGTTAATTACTCAATCATCAACAAGCACAGGACACAATTTTACATACATTCATATATCATTGTACATCAGTATCATTGCACAAGATTGAAAAAAAATTGAAAGCAGAAAAAAAGATAAGACAACAAAAAATGATGCTACCACACAATTCAGCACAAAATACATAACATGACCTACATGTATGCACATGTACATGTACATGTGTACATGTACTTGTGGCTATAAATGCAGTATCATTTATCAATATCATCACATAAATCAAGTCAAAGAGAAGATGGGTAGACTAGTAGAGTATATACTGTTACTTCTATCAGTTGTACTAGTAGTATCTACATTGACTGGATCTACTAACAATTACTACAATGGTAAGATACTGACTACTATACTAATGGATAATATACTTGTTTCAATTATATATACTATCAAATACAAGAACCTACTGGTAATAAAGGAGTCACAGATTGTCGTAAGCTCAGTATCTAATACACTATTGATTAATTTTATTAACTTTAAGCTGTTACTAAAAAAATCATTGAAGCCATTAACGTATCAATAACTCCAAATCCATTGATTCGTGGAAAAGCATATCATTATCAAGGAAATTTAGGTATCAGTAAGTTTCATATTCACTAGTGCTGTAAATCTTTTTCTAGAGAAAACCATACAATGGGGTATACTGCATATCACAATAAGACATAATTTCAAGAATTATACTAATATTACTTTCGTCGATGAGAAGTTCAATTTATGTGACTACTTTGTTGATTTATTGAAGCTACATTGTCCGGTACCACCAGGAATATATCAGTTCAATTATACTGATACAATACCAAGCCACTTTTGGCCAGTGAGTAACAGATACAGTGTATCATTATTACTATTCTATTTCATAGGGTAGGTATTATGCCAAAGCTACAGTGCACAATAAGGAAGGAGAGGAAATGATGTGTCAAATGATAGACGTTAATATAAATGAATGACTTGAATACATTGTCAAAGTTAATATCTTAATATGCTTGTTTCTTAGCCAGACTACTGTTTGAATAATCATTAAAATATCAACAACATTAACAATATAAAAACTCATTGTAAATAATGAGAATCATTTGAACACATTCACCGACATGTATGTAATAACTCTGATATTCCTATAGGCAGTGTAGTAAAATTAATTGTGAAAATATGGAACTTTAGTATCTACATGTACATGTACGTGTATTTATTTATAAAGATAGAAGCTGAAATACATAACGCCATTATAAAACACAACTCATATTGGGGGCTACCGAGATAGTAAAAAATTTGGTACATAAAGTCTTAGGAATTAATCGGTTAATTGTCTCTCAATAATGATTAAATATTTACCTGAAACAGGATACAATTATGTACCTGCATGTATTAGTGAATGGCTTACATCTACACGTACATTCTAATCATAACTATTTTGATGATTTTTGCTTAAAAAAACAGTTACATTTGTAAATACTCAATCATCAACACAGTTTAAACTTCTCAACTCAACTCAACTTACATTCATATCGTTGCACAAGATTCAAATAAATTGAAAGCAGGAAAGAAGATAAGACAACAAAAACAAAAAATGATGCTACGACACTATGCAGCACAAAAATACATCAAACGACCTACATGTATGCACATGTACATGTACTTGTGGCTATAAATGCAGTATCCTTTATTAATATCACCTCATAAATCAAGTCAAAGAGAAGATGGGTGGACCAGTAGAGTATATACTGTTACTTCTATCAGTTGTACTAGTAGTATCTACATTGACTGGATCTACTAACAATTACTACAATGGTAAGATACTGACTACTATACTAATGGATAATATACCTGTTTCAATTATATATACTATCAACAACAAGAACCTACTGGTAATAAAGGATTCACAGATTGTTGTAAGTTTAGTAATACACTATTGATTCATTTTATTAATTTTAAGCTGTTACTAAAAAATTTTTTGAATTAACTAATGAATCATTAACTCCATATCCACTGACACGGGGGAGAAGGTTCCATTGGAAAGCACAGCTACACAACAGTGAGTTAGCAATGACTGACATCATAAAATGTACATTGTATACATGCACTTATCCATTTCTAGGAAAAACCATACAATGGGGTATACTGCATTTCACAATGACATATAATTTCAAGAATTACACTAACATCACCTTTTTTGACGTGAAATTAAATTTATGCGACTCCCTTGATGACTTGATTCACACCCGCTGTCCATTACAACCAGGAACATATCAAATGAACTATAACGCTAAAGTACCAAACCAATTCTGGCCAGTAAGTGCATATAACGTTCAATTAGATTATATTATATGCCCCATACACTCTAGGCCCAGTATAAGGCCTATATTGCTACTTATGATGATAAAGGAGAGCAAACACTATGCCAGACAATGGAACTTGTCATTGCCTCATAAAATTATTAAACATCATAATGTCTCCAGTGAACATACATCTAAATATCAATAAAATATCCATACTAGTGTGTACAATCAATACCTTAATAAATACACATTACATAAGTGACCGCACGTTAAAAAAATTCGCTACCCAAGGTACTAGTCCAACATAGCTACACGTGTCATTGTGTCACTATCATTGTGGAGTTACTTAATACAGTATCTCTTAACTGAAATATTGCACAATACTATACACGGTATATACGTGTAGCAGCTGAGGCCAACAGAACGAATGTTATAATACAGTGTAGCTTGCTTTGTAGAGTAGTCGAAAGTACATGTACATGTACATATTACACGCGACTGTTGAATACAATAAATACAAATTACAATGTGCATAATGACAATAATATGTATATGTACCTGTACATGTATTATAAATACACAGAGTGTTGTTCATTCCAATAAATAAACATACATGTATACATGTACTAAATACTGATGTACATGTACGTGAGTGAACAGGGTTCCCTCCAGGATTACGTAACCACACTCGTTTCACGTAGCAAACAATAGAAAGGCTTTCGGTTACAATTACTTTAATCAATTCACCGCACTTTATTAAAATCGCGTTTAAAAGGGTTTTTTGTGCTCTTTCATAACAGTTCAATGGGAACCCTGTAGAGTGAGTAGTGACTAACTTGTTCCTTTGTTCTATTGAAGAGTCTCTCCAGTTGTGCTTTCCTCTTGGTCTCATGAGGAGCATCATAAGATATTAGCTGACTGTCCTCTACGGACGGGTCACGTAACTTTAATAAACGATTATAAACACTGTAATAACGAGCCTTGAGATCCTCCACTGAGCGTTTCTGAGAGAGAGATAAGAGTAAGATACCGTATAGCGGGTTATTTTTGTGGCGCTTTCTTTTTGGGGGTTACTACGAAATACATGTACATGTATACACATGTACATGTACACCTACGAAATCTCATTGAAGTTCCGTCCCCTCACAGGCCACATGTACATGTACATGTACATGTATGTCAACTGTCAACTACGAAAATTAAAACATCAAATTGTCCCACTAGGAGCAAACCGTGAAATACAAAATAACCCACTACATCATACATAAACATTGACGGACACAAGATAAGAGAAAGAGAGAGAGAGGGGGGGAGACTAAAAGTAAATAACACATTACTTGGAATTTTTCAGTGTCAAACCTGTCTTGAATAATGACAAACCTTAAATCAAACTGTCTAAAGAAATAAAACAATAAATGACATGGAGTGTTGTACATGTATACATGTACAATCTCTTTCTTCCTTTTAGTATTTAACCTCCTCCTTCAAATTCACACTCTCCATTTCCCACTATCACTGTCATCAAACTCATCATCATCATCATCATTATGTATTTTATTTTTATTATTTTACCTGCATAATTCAAAAAGATGATCTGTTTCTAGTTTACTCCAACCAGTCTCTTGTAAGACACTCTACATATACAAAATAATGATAAAAATTATAATTGAACTATATACATGTATGTACATTGTACCTGTACATGTATGTCAATAATTTACTAATACAAGTACATGTACGTGTACATAGCAATATTTGAGTTGATTCCAACAATTATTTTTCAAGTTATAAGCATTTTCAAAACTAGCAAAATGGTTTGAGGCCAAATTTCGTCAAAAATGGCTAGGAGAGAATTTACTGTTTTTATAATTTTTTCTGATACATATACATGTTCTTAAGCTACATAGCAACTTTGAGCTAATTCTGCTCAAATTTGGATTTTTTATGAATTTTTAAACTTACTAAAAAATCAAACAAATGACCGGAATGAGCCCAAATTTTGTCAAAATGGCTAGGAGAGTATTCACCATGTTTAAATTTTTTCTGATACATAATATACATGCTATTAACTTTAAACAATGTATAATGCATGTACATGTGCTATAAATATGATTAATTGCTTGTGTACACACACATTCATGCTCTGAGCCAACCCTCAATGCCATTGTTTGTATAAGGATATAGTTAATGATATTCATGAGCCAGTAGTGCATAGAATGATCTAGAACATTCCTGAAGTTCAATCACTGTACACACACACTGCAATGGTGTATCACTCCTAGCACTGAATATTCTAGAAGACTCTGTCCTAAACTAATCTACATGTATACACCAGAGCATAATGTCACTGGTAGATCAACCTAGAAACTTCATGAATAGTTTAGAAATGAAAATCACTGACTATAAAACAGAGAGAGCAAAGGCAACAAAACTCAGAGTTATAAAACAAGCGAAACTAGTCACAAGAGGAACTTAGAGAAACTTCAAGAGATAAAGAAGATGCCTAGTCTAAAGGTTCACTTTAATGGAGAGACAAGAAGGACACAAGTCCAGGAAGACGTCACTTATGATGGTCTCTTACAGAGTATCATCTCTCTATTCCCTGGACTGGATGAATCCAGTGCTCCTACACTGAGGCTCTTCTATAGAGACACTGATGGGGACATTATCACCCTCTCCTCTGATGAAGAGGTGACCACAGCTATAGCTGAGATACCCTCGGGCGGAGTCTGGAGGTTGACGGCTCGTTTGGTAAAACCTCCTTCCAGTTCTTCCTCAGGAAGTGGAAACCAGACACACCCACTTTTAGATCTATTTGAAGCTCTAGTGAATCCACTTCAGAGCGTACTTGATAAAGAAGAGAATAAGACTGGAGAAGAGAGCGAGAAGAAAGAAGGAGAGGAGGAGGAGACTAAACAAGAGGAAACAACAACTGAAGGAGAAGGAGCCAGTCCCAATGAAGAAGGAGTCACTGCTGAAGGGAGTGAGACAGTAAAGGAAGATGAAACTAAAGAAGAGAAAGTCAAATCAAAACCCAAGACAGGCAGTGGTCCAGTCTGGACTACCTATGAGATAAGAATGGGTCCATCTCATAATAAATACTGTCAATGTCACAGACGCTTGCTGAGGCCACAACCATCACTCTTCAGTCTAAACTTATTTTAAATTAAAAGGACACTAAAACTTATTTTGAACTCGTATCATTATCATGTACATATATTGTTGTTAACAGTTTATTAATAGCTACCAGTAATTATTGCTGTCTTTGTGTTTAAAGTGTGTCATCATTATTATTCGTAAAATGATATTTTAAACCTTACATAAAGTTGACTTCAAAACATTCCTATTAGCAAGCAATGAGTCACAGTCTTTAAGTGAATGATATTGTACATACTGTGATCTTTATTTATTGTTGCTACGAAACCATATAGTGTACATGTACCTGCAATGTAAACACCAGTCTATCACAATCATGTGCAGTATAGCAGGAAATTTTCATTGCCATGAAATTTCATTGTCCATCCAAGAAGGCCTTAAAATAGCTTTTATTTTTTAACCCAATCATGCCCACATTACATTGTGTATTTTAAATTTTAATTGTCTAAAATTTATGTTGAAACTTTTGTCCAACGAAACAAACAAAAATTAGCACTTAATGAAAAAACGTCAAATTAGATTTAATTATCTAAGCCAGTTTAAAGGTTATGGGCATCAAACATAATCTATAGACAAAAGTATTTTTAAATTACATGTAGTTCTGAAAATGACAAAAATTTTAATTTTACAAATTGGCTTTATTTTGAAATACGTATTACATTTTCTGATACATAACAATGTCGTCATGCTTTGTAGAAAGCTTGAGCTGTTCCTGACAAATCAATAAGCACTATTAAAAATGGGCCAATTTTTGAATAAAAAAACTAAGGCTATAGCCCATGGTTTTTTTATTGTCTCTAACATCACCCCTAATTATTATTCCATTGTCTGATACTAGTACAATAATTTAAGTCCTTTATGCTGTGTACCAATTTAGTATTTACAGTAGATGATTGTGTCAAAAAATTAATTTTTAGTGGTACATGTACATGTAGTTTAGCACTAGGCTACTAGCATATTCAAAAATTAAATCAATTAATAATTACATGTACATGTACATGTATTTTATGTTCACACTGGTGTACAATATTTGTTTATAATAACAATTGTATAAGCCAGTAGTGTAGAATAATCTAGAACATTCCTGAAAATATCTTTTCATCAACTTGTATGTACACAACAGCATTAGTGTATCACTCATAGCACTGAAAATCCTAGAAGACTCTATACTACACAAATCTACATGAGAGCATAACATCACTGGTAGATCAACCTAGAAGCTTCATGAATAATCTAGAAATAAAACTCAATGACTATAAAAGAGAGAGAGCAAAGGCAGCC